TTGAACCGCCAGCCTTCTGGTGAGCAGTCAAGTGCCTTAGGCACTATGCTACCAGTGCTCCCCTCCTTTGCTATAGGTAAACAAAATTTTCTTTTGAGTTTATTAGCTACTTAAGAAGTTTCCTTACTCTTGAGGCAAAAGAGAAAATACTGATAGTAGCAAGCAGTTATGGAGAAAACAGCCTAAGATATAATAGCAGAAATAGCCTTGCCTTGTTGTTAACTATTCATCAGCAATGCCTGATGATCTGAATCGAAGTGTAAGATTCAATGCAAATGTGTATAATAATCTAGATCAATGTCAGCAAATATTTTCTAGAAAGGGCCAAAAAGTAACTTTTTAAGCTTTGTCAGCTAACATTCTCTTTTGCACCTCCTCAACTCTGCTGTTACAGTGTGAATGTAGCCATTGGCAATATATTAACAAATGAATGTGACTGTGTCTCAAAAATACTTTATTTATAAAAATATCCAGATTCACCTGTAGGACATAGTTTGCTAACCTTGGATCTAGATTACCTGGGAGTTTTTCTATTCATTAAACTGAGTTATCTGAGGCTTATTCTAAGAGAAAATTTGTTGTCTAGCTATTAAACATAACACAAAGTCTGAGTGTTCAGGCTGTAGTATTTGATAGACCTGGGGTTACTATACAAATAATCTGTTTGAGGTCCCTGATTCTGCAGAGAACTCCAGTAATGTTATCTCAGCGTCAGAGGCACATACCACTCTAGGTCAAGTGCTGACATTGAAGGAAATTTTGGCAGAGGGTGGCCTATCACAAACACCAGGGCAGATGGAATTACTCTAGGCTCACACACTCTCTTCGGCTAATTGGATTACTCTTCAGAGAATGATGATAAAGTCAATTTAATAAGGGGATCCTCTTTAGCCAGCAAAGAATATATTTTCCTGACTGAAAGCAATGGGATAAGTTGTCCAAATGTCAATATTTAAGCTGTAAGAAGCACCTTTGGGACCAAAGGTATCTGTACTCAAAGGGATCACATTAGATACAAAGTTCCTATAACTTATTCCTCTAATTCATAGGCAAGAATTTGAATAAATATACGTTCTGAGTCTAACAAGGACATAAGCCTTTGCTCTAAGTTTTTTTGCATTATTTCTCAGAACAGATTCCCTTGCACACCAGGAGAAAAAAGAGAGGTATGATTTCATGAGAGCTGTGTATAGTAGTAGAAAAATAGCCACCTTGGAGGAAGCCTGAGTTTTCATTCTGGCTCCATGTGTAGCCTCTGAGCCTGACTTTTTTCAATTTGCAGGTACAATGTATACCATGGAAGACTGATATAGGAATTAAATGAGACACCAGATGTAAAGTTTTAACAAACAGTGGGTGCTCCCAAACTGTTAGTTGCAGTTGTTTAATACCCCTCAAAAATTGAAACCAATGTACTATGTACTTCAGTTTCTTTCACAGAGAAACCATAGCTTGTCCTTCTAGGGTCAGTGGAAAATTCCTCTATGACTGCATATAAGAGCACTTCCACAGCCGCTTTGCGTGAGAGAAATGGAATCTTTCCAGAATTCTAAGACACTTCTCAAAACCCACACTGTACTAGAGATGCTTGCTCCCTACAAAAGGCACATTATTGAATAGCCATGAAAGATTTTTCACCATGACACTTGGTGTGTTTTGACTTCCACTTAATTTATAGTCAGTAGGAAGGTCAAGTTCTTTATCACAGACTTCTGGTGGGTGGTCTAACAAGACTATAATTTTCAAACTTGGAAAGAAAGATACAGCTCCAAAGAAAGGAATATTCTAAGCCAGGGCACACAGTAGGAATCTTTTGGGAATAATCACAATTACAATATAAATGCAGAGTTCTTGTATTTTGTCTGTAGTTTGTAGGTATTATTATTTTAAATGAGGATTAAAATTTGGGTGTGGTTATTGCAGTTTTCTCAGGATAATTTGTGTTCCTTCACATTAATAATGATGTGTGAGACAACCTTTGCATCCAAATCCCATCACATTTTGTTCTAGAGTAGAAGTAGCTTTAAGGGTCCTTGGGCTGTCTCCTAAAGTGCTCTGATCATTGCACCAAGATTCTCCTGCCTTCAGCCAAGTTTGTCTTTCAGACTGAAATTAAGTTCATGCCACAATTTTTTTTTTTTTTTTTTTAATTATATCTGATAGGGAACCAAGTCCTTCAGTTGAAATTTCCTGCCACAATTTTTGGAAAGTGGAGAGAATTTGGGGAGATCAACATCACCCTTTCTAGAAAGTGGAAACATGGCATTTATAGTTGGCAAGAGTGCGATGTGTTTAGTCTGAGTAGGGCAGTTACATAAAGAAGTTAATCAAGCTGCCAGTTGCATGAACTTAAGGTCTTTGGAAGAATATCAAACTTAAGGATGCTGAGCCTTCCTTGCAGAACCATTATCACTTCTAACACTGTCCTCAGGCAATCTGATTCCATCCAGTGAAAAAGTTATCAGCCAAGATCACCCATACAATGAACACTGAAAATGCAAGGTTTAAAGACTAAATGCTGGCAAAGACAATGGGTTTTAGACTCCAACAGAATTTCTCACTGATGGACGATGTTTGTAAATGATTAGTGTCTTTCTGAAAAATGCTGTTGACTTCATATTGGATAGACTGTTAATTTGATGTCATTTCAAATGTCAAACAGCAAGATGTTAAGGCTTAATTAAATTACCTTAGTTACCTTACTTTCCTAGTTTGAACTAAACAGTTCCTGGAACTTTTATATTATGCCAGCAATTTTCATCCTACCTTTTATTTTTGGATACTGTGGTCTATATTTAATATAGCACCTAACTGGAGAAGTGTTGAAAGAGAACTTGTTAAAACAGATTGTTGGGCTCCACCCTGAGAGTTTCTAACTCAGTTGGTTAGAAATTGGGTGAGGGGAGGCAAGAATTTGAATATCTAACAAATTCCCAGTTTGGATATCACACTTTGACAAGCATTATCCCTTCCAAAATTAGGCAATGATTGAAGGAAAACTCCCTTTTCAATTGGCATGTTACAGCTCTACAATTTCAATTGATTAAGTAATTTAGCAAATCAGCAGAGTCTGCTGCCAGTACTCAAGATTGTTATTAGCTGCCATCAAGATTAGGGTGGAGGTTTCCTGAGGCTAGAGAAAGACTAGCACAACACAACCCAAATGGTATTATTTACAGCAGGAGGTTGATATGCCTTTGCAAATGGTGTGGACTAGATAGTGTTGCTGGTGCTAATTATATTTTTTCTTCTAGGAGATTCAGCTGCAATCTGGACTAAAGGCCAATATGGAGGTCCAGGGTGGTCTAGCTATTGACATTTCAGGTTCAATGGAGTTTAGTCTATGGTACCGTGAGTCCAAAACCCGCGTGAAAAACCGGTAAGCATTATATGTGTAATACTTTATAAGAGAAGTGCAGAAATATATATTGGGGATTTTTTAACCTTCTCACTTTTCAAAATCTGTCCATTTTGTTTGTAATCATTAAGTCATAGAGTTGGAAGTGACTATGGGAAGCCATTCTGTCCATAGCTTCTTATGAACTAATAGAGTTCAGACAGCCACGAATCTTCTTGCTGTTAAAGACATCCATGGACTGCATACCCCATGAATGAAGGAGTTCCTCTTCTCTTGATACTCTACTTTTGTTGTTGTTGTTGTTATGTGCCGTCAAGTCGGCCCCGACTCATAGCGACCCCTCCTTGGGTTTCCGAGGCAGTATCACTACGGAAGTAGGATTGCCCAACCTTCCTTCCGAGGAGTGGCACTCTACTTTAGTAGTTGACAATTGTGTCAGGGAATTTTATATTGAAGTCAATTTTTTTTCTTTTTTGTTTTGCTAAATCCCTCTTATAGGATTAAAAATCTTTCTTCTTTTTCTGTCTTCAATGGAGTGAGTTAAAAAAAAAAAAAGGACAATTACTTCTGTGCAGAATCTTAGCCTTAAACATTAGAAGTCTTTAAGTTTTTATTAACATTTCTTATTCCAAACAAACTATTTTCAAGTCCTTTAGTTTTTCCTAATCTATGCTGTGGAAATCAAGACAGTATTTTATTTACAACATAAAACAATGTCTCTGAACCAGGATAATAATAAAAAATAATAATTTTTTCCTGTTTGTTACAGAATTAAAGAAAAGGAAATGGAAATGCAATTCAATTTTACCCTTTTGAGTATTTAAAAGTATAGTGGGGCCAAATGATAAAATTATAACTTTGATTCACTTTAAACTATGAACATAAGAATTAAAAACAATGGAAAGATGGCACCTTTAATATGAAGGATGATCTACAGTGTTACTAGAAGGAACCATAGGGAAGAAATGGAATTGACCATCAGATCATCCAGCAATATAACTTAGGGCTTTCTACTGAATTGGTGATCTTCCTCTTCTTTGTGAAGTATTTTCTAGGCAGAAGTTTCCCTTAGTTAAACTGAGTTGAATTTCTTGCAGGGAAAATTAACAATAGGAGCTCTGGTAGCATAGTGCCTAAGGCATTTGACTGCTAACCAGAAGGCTGGCAGTTCAAACCCAACAGCCACTCCTCGGAAGAAAGGTTGGGCAATCTACTACCGTAGTGATACGGCCTTGGCAACCCAAGGAGGGGTCGCTAGAAGTTGGGTCCTACTCGATGGCACATAACAACAACAACAACCTTCTGTTTTTCATATATTCCTTCATTCATTTTTAAATTATATCTTAAAACTTTGCTGAATATAAAACATTTTGAGGAAATATAAGGTATTCAGGGATTGAAAAGACACCACCTCCAACCTCTGACCTACTTGTACACTGATAAGGAATTTTAAATTGCACAACAAAAATAGTACCTCTACCAAAAACTTAATTGGCATAAGATTCTAGTATAATTTGGAGAGTAATTTCTCACAGTTTTATTTAAAGTCTATATATTAAAGTAGTCCTGGTGATAGGTCTTTTATTGAGATTGGTTATCTTCTTCATTATCATCCAAGCCATATTTCCTAGCCAAATCAATCTGTCTATCCCATCCTTTCTCTAAACTAAGATATACAGTATCCACCATATCTGTTTCTTCTGGGGCACCCACTGTTCAGATCCAATATTTGTAGCACAATATTTTTCAAATATTTTGGAAACCACAAATTTGTATCTCTAGAGACCCCTTTGGGGAAAAGTAGCTCTGGTAGGGTAGTGCCTAAGGCACTTGACTGCTAATCAGAAGGCTGGCTGTTAAAACCCACTAGCCACTCCTTGGAAGGCAGATGGGGCAATCTACTTCCATAGTGATACCACCTCGGAAAACCAAGGAGGAGTCGCTATGAGTTGGGTCTGACTCAAAGGCACATAACAACAACAACAAAAGTGAATATGGAATTGAAATAGTTACAGAGAACTGCCAACAGAGAGATACTTACCTAAGACAATTATTACAAACATCAGCTGTCTTCTTGGTGAGTTTAGACTTCTTTTAACAGAACTCAAGAGCTCTGGTGGTGTAGTGCCTAAGGCATTTGACTGCTAACCAGAAGGCTGGTGGTTCATACCCACCAGCCACTCCTTGGAAGGAAGACTAGGCAGTCTACTTCTGTAGAGATACCACCTCAGAAACCCAAGGAGGGGTCACTGTGAGTCGAATTGACTTGATAGCAGTGAGTTAGTTTTAAGGTAACTCAGTTGCTTCTGACCTCCAGAGAGGGCTGGGTTCCGGGTGTGTTTTTGTCTAGGTCTTTGGTAGCTCCATGGGAAGCTCTGGTGGTGCAGTGCCTGAGGCATTTAACTGCTAACCAGAAGGCTGGCAGGTCAAATCCACCACCCATTGCCCCGGAAGGAAGGTTGGGCAATCTACTTCGGTAGTGATACCACCTCAGAAACTCAACGAGGGGTCACTATGAGTTGGACCGACTTGACGGCAGTGAGTTTGTTTTTTTTTTTTTTTGGTTGGTAGCTCCATACCAAACATAGTACTTGAGAGACACTTTGTTCCTACATCTAGAGTTGAATATTGAGGAAGGAATCTGGGGTGAGCAAAGTGTTGCTGCTCAGTCAGGCCTTGATGACCAACAGAACTCTAAGCATATGTAGGTCACTTGTTAGTCCTTTGTTTTCCTTATAGTCATCAGCACCATGAGTTCAGATCCTGTGACATTAGAGCTGTTAGCCTAGCTCAATTAAAGTGTGATGTTAACAGGTTTCTTTTTCTTTCCCCTAAAAAAAATCTTTAGGGTTGCCGTGGTAATAACTGGTGACATCACAGTGGACTCTTCTTTTGTGAAAACTGGACGGGAAATCAGTGTGGAAACAGAAGCAGGCCTGGAGTTCATCTCAACAGTGCAGTTTTCTCAATATCCATTCTTAGTTTGCATGCAGATGGACAAGGATGTAGCTCCATTCAGGTAAGAATGTTTCAGGGCCATCCTTCTTTCACTAGAAACTTGTGCTCAGTTATGAGCATTCAAGTTTGGTATTAAAATAAAATGGTAGTAACTGAGTGAAAATTTAAAAAAGAGTAATAAAAAGAATAATTCATATATCTAAGGAAAGTAAGTTTCTGTGATACAAACTTACTGCCATCAAGTTGATTCCAACTTATAGTGACCTCATTGGGTTTCTGACACTGTAAATCTTTATGGAAGTAGATTGCCCCATCTTCCTTCCGTGGAGCAGCTGGTGGGTTTGAACCACTGACCTTCTGGTTAGCAGCCAAATGTCTTATCCATTATACCACCAGAGTTCCTTTCTATAACACAAAGAAATTCTCTCAAAGTTTTGGTTTGACCTTGAGAATTCTGGATTTTGAATTAAAAAAAAAAAATACTTGCAATAGAATTCTTAATGTTCTGAGGAAGAAATATATAATGGTCCATGCAACTTTCCTGATACCTCTTTCACCCTAGAGCCTAACTCTCATTTAAACAGTATCCTTTGAATCTTTACATTACTATTAGATGGAACTAAGCAGCTCTGGTGGCATAGTGTTACCCACTAGCTGCTCCATGGGAGGAAGATGAGGCAATTTTCTTTCATAAAGATTGACAGCCTTGGAAACCTAATGAGGGTTGCTATGAGTCAGAATTGACTCAATGGCAGTGGGTTTATTACACAGAACTAGAAGGACTAATAGAATGCTTTGGTTCTAGGTAGCACTCAGTTTTCTGTCAATAGTAGCTTTAGAGGTCCCCTTGACATATACTATAGCACCACGTTGTAGACTGAAGACAACAAGCCACCTTGTAGTTCCAGCCTTTCTTTTGACAAATAGGCCAGACTTGAGCACTTTCTTTATTTTCCTGGCATTTCATGATCCATATAAAGAATGCCATATACACACATAGCGACATACATACAGATATGAGTAAGTTAGTTATATTTGTATAGCATAAAAGATCATGGGCTGTAGTTAGAAGATTAAACTGTCACTAACTTATACTAATTACATTGAGAAAAACTTTAAAAATGTATTTTAAAAAAGTAAATCTGCCATTGATCAAAATGTAGTGAACAGCAATCCAGCCATATGGCTATCTGGTTTGGTTCCACATTTTTCTTGGGCCAGAATTTGGGGAATGTTTCCCTGTCAGCATTCTCAGCTTAAGTCCAGTTGGCCTTGGTACTTACTCAAAAGGGGAGTGCTCTCAAGGTGGGGCACCTGGAATGAGGGGTGGGAGACATAGCAAGGACTGAAGATCTTAACAGTATCCCCAAAGAGCTGAAAGGAATTCAGTTCTACATTAAAGAAAAATGTGTGGCAGGACTCTGATACTCCAGGCATCTGAAATGTCTCTGTTAGTATAGAAAGAAATAGGGAAAGGAAAATCACCTCATTCATGGGTATGGAAGCTGGTAATCACTGGCACTTATGTCTATCTCAAATTCCTTTGAAAAAGAAGCTTCAATGTACACTCACCTGGAATCAGACAGGTGTGGGATGACTGGATAACTTTAATTTTTGTGTAATTTTTTCGTCATTATTCTTCTTGTTACACAGGCAATTTGAGACAAAGTATGAAAAGCTGTCCACAGGCAAAGGCTATGTCTCTCGGAAAAGAAAAGAAAAGCTAGTAGCAGGATGTGAATTCCCACTCCATCAAGAGAACTCTGAGATGTGTAAGGTGGTATTTGCCCCTGAACCAGAGAGTACTTCCAATGGTTGGTTTTGAACCTGATTGATGATATTTCACTTGAATCTGCCTCCCTGGAAGGAATACAATGTGACACATCTAAGTACTGCTCTCTGAGAGCACACTGTTTACATATTTACATGTATTTAAGATTTTTGTAAAGAGCTATGAAAAACCTCAAATGATAAAATTTGGGCCTATTCAGTATACTACCTAGTGTGTCGTTTTGAGCTAACATGCACAACACTTTTAACAACATTCGTAGTTTTCGAATCCCATTTGGTACAGTGAGAATAGTTCTGCTCTAAGAACAAAACACTCTGTTCTTTGTAGGAAAAAAAAATAAAAAAAACACTTAGGAAAAGTCAATTTTGTTTCAATAAGTTTCAACTAATGTATATGAAGACTTTTTTTTTTGATGGAACATTAAATGTGACTTGCTTTCTACCAAGCATGTTGCATTATCAGGAAAAAAATGGCCTATTTTTTCTTCCTCTTTTGAGGGGATGAGGGTAGAGGACAAGACTTTTTAAAGACTTTTGCCAGTCAGCTTTAAGAATTAATATTTGTCTTCTGTTATTGTTAATTTCATTAAGCATTAAGACAGAAGGCACTCAGAATGAAGACATACAATGTCATTGTTCTATGGACCATGTAGTCAGGTTTCTAGAAGGAAGCCATTCCATCATCTTCCTCCAGCCCTACAAAAATAGTGGACTTGACAAGTAGGTTTTAAAAAAAATTATTTCAGAAACTCCATTTGATTTCTCTTATTCTGTGCCTCTTTGAGACTGCGATGTAGTACACTATCCTTTATAGGGGACATCCCCATATAGTCATCTCATCTCTGCATCACATGTTTTGTGGTGGAAGCTCCAGTCTATTTGTCTACAATTTGCAGAACAGGCAGAATCACCGAAGTAATATAATACTGCTTCAAGAAACTGATAGATCTGGATTTCTGAAGAAGAGACATGAGGAAAAGAATGTCTTTATTTGTACAAATTAAAGAAGCCATGTCAAACATTTTCAAATATTTATTATTAAGCAGAAACATGTGTTTATACTGATAATTCCAATGGTGGGTGTTCATTTGTCCGTATACATATAAAACTGAGATAGCACATCATTGGTTCTAAATTGAATATGAAAAGTGATGAAATAAATATGTGGAAATCCTACTGAATTCCTTTTGTCTTTCATTAATTTGAATACCGCATTTCTCTTTTCCTGCCACTTTCTGAGCTTTGACACATGTAAACCTCTGCAGCTCTGCAGAATGGGCCAGATTTCCTGGGTGGAAAGCCAGAGCCCAGAGCCTTTTAGAAAACGGATCACTGAAAATAGTAACAGCCAGGACTTCTAAGGGTCTGTGAGCTTGAAAACAAATTATAACTCCATATTCTTAAAACTCTGGATAAGCACACTTACTGTTAAGTTTGTCAAAAGGGAGGAAGGACTGAGAAAACGAGTGGGGGTGGGGAATCACAGGTGGTGGATTATCTGCCTGCCCATTTGGAGAACGTTGTTAGTTGGCATCAACTTTGAATCATGGCAACCCCATGTGTGCAAATAGAACAGCTCCTTAAGGTTTTCAAGGCCTTGACCTTTTGGAAGCAAACTGCAAGGCCCAACTGGCCGAAAGCAAATTGCCAGGCCTTTGGGTGGTTCAAACCACCAAACTTTTGGAGTCAAGTGCTTAATCGTTTGTGCCATCTAGGAACTTGTATTTCGAGAATATGGATCAATGAATCAAAAAAAAAAAAAAAAAAAACAACTCACTGCTGTTGAGTCTAATCCAATCTGACTCATAGAGACCCCCTCCTTGTTGAGTTTCCTGGGCAGCATCCCTATGGAAGTAGATAGCCCTGTCTTCCTTCCGAGGAGTAGCTGGTGGGTTTGAACTGCCAGCCTTCTGGGTAGCAGTCAAATGCCTTGGGGACTGCCCCACAAGAGCTCCCAGATCAATGAATGGTACTTAGCAATTCTCCCATGCTCCAAAGGAACAATAAACAAGAATATAAAACAAATATTAACTCCTTTATAGATAAACAAGAGAGAAATGTAAGAGGGATGGAGAGGTTTTCCACATTTTGAAATGACACCTTGGAACCAGAAATACAACCGTAAACCTCATTTACAGTCTTCTAGTTCTGACCACTTCACTGTTACCAACGGACGGTCAAACCAGTTTTGTCTTCTGCAAAGCTGCTGTCTGGGAACCATGTGGGTCCCCTGACCTCAATCCATGGGTGACACTTCTGCCCAGTCAGCTCCATCCCTCAAGCCTTTAAGATTTAGTGTGGCTTACTTTCTTCTCTGAAGTACACTGTCCCTCTGTGTTACTTGGTGTTTTGCCCATGACAAGCGATTCATCTCTTAACCTCATCACCCTCTGAACCTGACCAATAAAAAATGTTGTTAGAGCTCTCTCTTACTAAGTGCTTATTATGCATCAGGTATTTAACCATTTAATTCTCACAACAACCATATTTAGTAGGTAGAATTATGATTACCATATTATAGGTCAGCACTATCCGAAATAAATACACAAGCCACATAGTAATTTTAAATTTCTAGTTATCACTTTAAGGACCTCTGTCGGCATAGTAGTTAAAAGCATTCATCTGCTAAACAAATCACCAGCCGCTCCCCAGGAGAAAGATGAGGTAGTCTTCTTCTGTGAAGATTTACAGCCTTGGAAACACTACTCCTTCCTATAGGGTCAATATGAGTCCGAATTGCCTTGATGGTAGTAGTGGTGGTTTAGTAATCACATTAAAAAAGTAAACTTAAACAGACGAAATTAATTTTAATAATATATTTTATTTAACCCAATATACAAAAAATATTATATTAGTATGTAACTAATATAAATAATTAATGAGATTGGCTGGAAGATTAGGTCCTCAAAATCTGATGTGTATTTTATGTATATAAACCAAAAGAGAAAAACAAATCCACTGGCATTGTGTCAATTCCAACTCATAGTAACCTTATGAGTAGAACTGCCCCATAAGGTTTCCAAGGCTGTAAATCTTTACGGAAGCAGATTATCACATCTTTCTCCCATGGAGTGGCTGGTGAGTTCAAACTACTGATCTTTTGATTAGTAGCTGAGCCCTTTAACCACTGCATCACCAGGGCTGTTTTTAACACATATTTATTTATTTATTTTAAATTTTTATTGTGATTTGGGTGCAATTTTTGTTTCATGACACTGATTACAATCCCTACAATGTAATACCTTTCCTCCCACCTCTCCCCTGTAATTTCCCTTTCTTGTGTCTTCCTAACCTCAGCATTCCTTCCTGCCTAGCTCTCTCCTGTGCAAATGCTGTCCTTCTGATCTTCCATGGTTGACTGTCCTAAAGAGTGTGTCTCCCTGACATAGTTATTCAAATTGTAGACCCATCTGCTATTTGGCTGATAGATAACCATGGAAGTGAGTCCAATTCCAGGCCTGAAAGGTGATTTAGGGCCATAGTCTCAGGGGTTTCACTAGTCTCTTTCTGACCAATAATTCTGGTTATTTTTATGTTTTTCAATTTTCTTCCACATCTTTCCTCCCACTCTATCCAGGATCTCTAATTCTGATCCCTTTCCAAGTGGTTGGCATAGATAGCCAAGCATTATCTAGTTCTTCTGGTCTTGGGGTTGTGTAGGCTGAGGTTCTTATGGTCCATTAGTCCTTTGGACTAACTATTTCCATTTATCTTTGATTTTCTTCACTCTCCTTTGCTTCAGATGAGGAAACACCAATACTTGCATTTTAGATGGCCACTTGCAAGCTTTTAAGACCACGGTCACTGCAAAAAGGGCAAGGAGGCCACATGTTCTGACCTCCTCTAATCCCACAAGAGAAAGACAGGATTACCAGCAGTAACCCAAGGCCTATTACTGCAAGGCCAGACATGCTGCCTCCCTCCAGCTATTTCACCAACCATTCCTCCCAAAGCACCCACCACCTCTCTCCTGGGTTCAATAATTCGCTGCAGTGGCCACACAAAACTCACAGATTACGGGATTTATTAGGGAAGCACCAGGCTACAACTCAAGTTCAGGTAGAACGCTCAGTCTCTCTCTCAGCCCACCGTCCCTCAGCCAACAGTCTCTCACAGTCTCTTTCGGCAGCAGTGCTGGTCCCTCGGTGTCTCACTCAGCAATGCATGTCTCTTTCCCAGCAGCACGTGTCTCTTTCAGGGGCGCATGTCTCTTTCCGCAGTACATCTTCCTCCACCAGCAGTCAGAGAGAGTTCTGCCTCCAGGAGGCCTCCTTTTGAGCCCGGAAGGGTGATCAAACTAGCCAATCACAGCATCAGAACTCTAAGCAGTGAGAGAGAGTGGGAACCTCCCAGAACATTGTATTGTGCCACGCCCAACAGAAATAACCCAGGTGGATAGCTCCTCAGTTGCTCATAGAAAATCCCACCTTGGAGTTTACAAAGACTTATGGGTAGAAAAGCCACACTAAGTAATTTACTACACTGCAGTTACTACACACCAAAGTAGGATGTATAACAATGTTTTTGTGTATTATATTGTACCAATTGCTCTTGATGTCCCCTGCAACCATGGTCCTAAGCCTGCAAGCCCAGTCACTCACTGCCTCATGGTACTTGGTTGTGGTTTAGAAATTATCCTTACTTTTTCCTCTGTTAGCGATGTGACATATGTGGACATTTTTATAGCACATACAAATACATTTGTAGGAATACTGTCTGCCAAACCTATGTATGTCATATTCCCATTTGCCTACCTATTCCTGATCTTCTTGTCTGTATACCTATGCATCTACTCATAGATCAGTGTTTGTTTTTACTGATCATGCAGTATATATAATAGTATTTACCTTTGTTGTCTGTACCTCTTGTGCACCTCTCTGTGTTTTCCTTGTTGGTTTTGGTATGTGCCGTCAAGTCAGACCTGACTCATAGTGACCCAAGCACATCTCAATTTAGACTAGCCACAGATGACTAAAGACTACCATATCAGACAACAGTACAACTATAGATGTAGAACCTGAGGCTCAGAAGTCA